CCCCTTTTTTTTTTTTTTTTTTTTTTTGTCCTTAAAACGACAAAGGTAGGCAATTGCCCGTGAAAATGTATTGTCGGAATAGGTTGTTGCCCCCACCTTGAAGAAGAATCATTACAGCCATTGCCTTTACCTGTGTTTTCTATATTTTTAAAGCTTGATATGTCCTCAACTGAATCCTGAGTTTTGAACTTTTGTGGCACATGGACTCATCATACTATATTTGGTCCATCCATGCCCTTCAAAAACTAAAGGCTTCAACCCTAAATTTTTCACACATCACGTCTATGATTTGATTTTTATACCCTTGGTTATTGGCATGAATTGGTCCAGAAGATGGACTGGAATTCAATTTTGTGATCAATGAGTTCAAATGTTTCTGTTTTGCTTATTTTTTTAAGATCATGAATTGGTCCGGGTTTGAATCAATTCACCCAAATCCACGCTAAACTTTTTAATATATCGGATCAATTTGAAGATTTTATTCCATGAACCTAAAATCGAACTGAAACGATTCGGGTTTGAAAAAATGAACCCTACTCGACTAGAAATGCTAATCCATCTAACCCACTTCTATAATTTGGGTTAGGTTAGTCGAGGCTGTCGAATTGTTGGGTTGAATGTACATCCTTGGCAATGACTAGAAAGGAATCCGATTCTTTTCATCCTATTGCATTAATACTTAAAAAATGAACACATAAATTAATCCAAACAATGAATCATACTGTGGTGGGCCAATAATGAATCAAATAGGCTGACTGACTGAACTTCAGCATGGTTCTGTACCATTCCTTTGAACAAAGTGAATTCCATAATGAATTTCTGTATCTACCTTAAATCTGACCTATTTTAAGAACTGATTTTGTTTAATTGCTGTAGATATAAAAAATATTTTAGTAATTACAACTATATGTTTAAAAAATTCAGCTAATCGCTCTTGTGCTTCAGTTTTTCAAATAATTTAATTTTTATGTAGACCTTTTATTTTTTTAATTAAAAAAGAAAAAAAATCATGTTTGATCAAGAATGTTCCTTTTAGAGACATGGAAAGTAAAGTACCAAATCCGAAACATAATAAGACTCGAAGTACTAAAAAAGGGGGGAAAGGTATTTGAGCTGTTTCTTTGTCCTCCTTCAGTAGTTTCTTGCTCTAGAAACAAGTTTAATGAAAAGGTACAACATGAATATATGTTCATGCACTATGCCCACAGATTTATGTCAGCAAATCCAGAAGAATGAACAAAATGTTACTGATAAATTGCTGTGGAAACTAAATGTGTTTACTTTAACTTAAAGAAACAGAGCATCAAAACCAGATCTTGTGTTTAACACTTGAAATATTAAACTACAAAACAGGAGTCTGATGAAGCTCCATCTAGACTTGTGAACAGCTATGATCAATGTCGTTGTGATAAGTTGTGTAGACCAAGTGAAGGATTTAGAAAGGGGCAAATAAATGATACCCGATTTGGTGTAGCAGTGAAGATGATTCGTACCATGTTAATCGACATTATCACGTTAAATCCTCCAGGCAGAAGCTTCTGTTATTCCCAGTTCAACAAACAGAGAGTTGATGTTGGGTTCTTCCAAGAGGCTAAATGCAGTAAATCCATAGTAGGTGTGGTATAAATCAGGAAAGTCCCTTGGAAACTTGCTGAAACCACCATACTGTCAAGGAAAATTATGGCAAAAAGTTTCAAACACTAATTCATGTTGAGCTGCATAACCCTTTTATAGTTAGTTCAGAAATTGGGAGTAGGCGTATATCCATTCTAGAACTGTGCTTTCATGATTTATCCATGGGAAAATCTTGAATTTTTGTTTAAATAAATAAAAAAAATGCAAATGGAAGGTAAAGAAGAGCGATAGTACCTTAAATTGGCACGTCAGCAGAAATCCCTTCAAAGCCTTCTTATTAATGAGATCGAAGCCTCCTAAAATCCTCAAGGTAGATCCAATCCTACCACAACATTACTTAGTCAAGAGATAGATCTCATATTGTCCTAGAATAAGCTCACACGTTTATTCATTTTTTTCCTTACCAAAATGCATAACAAGTGTCAGCAGGCTTGTTAGGTCGACCTTGAAATCCTCCATCAGCTGCCTGTTTCTGTAATCCAAATACAAGAATATATTTGGTTACTCTTCGATTAATAGTAGCTTAGCGCGTTAAAATGAGAACGAAGCTAATCAAAGGAAGAAAAAACTATTTTTTGTAAACATGTCTTTGTTTCCAATCTGCCGTTAGCACTTATTTTGAAGTAGAAGTCAAATTTCTAAGCATTACAACGTAGAAGGATTGAAAACTCAATGTAGGATGATGAAAATGAACCTGCAAGCACCACTCCAGCAACAACGGGGCGTTTATTATGGAAGAAGAATTATCTCTAGAGAGAAGATCATCTTCAATGAAACCCATTAAACGGAGAGATGCAATAGCACAATACGTTCCACCGCCTGTGTCACTAAACCCAATCATGCGTAAATAATGATCAACTTGATGAAATGAACAACATTGGCAAACAACTATAATAGATCCTAGACGTTATGATTTTGTGAGTACTACAAGTAAAAGCTGAAGGGTATTGAGTTTATTAGTTACGGTATTGTTAATCTCACCATGAGATTCTGAACCAGGAGTTAACCCAAAGCCACCATCATATGACTACAAGAAAGTCATTAAGAAAACGTCAGGATTCATTATTTTCTACAGGAGGCCAAGGTAATAAACACAAAAGTCAAGATTGTGGCATTCTCCAAACAAACCTGGCAGTTCAATATGTAGGTTTTACTTTTCTGTCTGTCCATGCCGCTCCAATTCTCAAGCATATTACAGATGGCAGCTGAAAATTGATCAATGGCATCACGAATATATTATACTAATAGTCCCACAGTTTAAGCATAAAGCCACAAACAAGTTTTATTTACCAGCACAATAGACGAACCGAAGGTCAGCCTCTGCTCCAATATGGACAGGCACAAAGCTGTCAGGATAAAAATTTGTGGCAAAGAAGATCGGATTCAACATTGTTACACAAAAAGAAATTTGCAGAGAACGTGTCAGCATTTACATGATGAAGAATGTACAATCTAAGATAAAAACCAATTCTAACGTTACAGTCTAAATTTCCACAAGAACATAAACATTTAACTTCAGAGGGTTCACCAACACTCGTAGCAGTCGTGCACATACACCCTGTGTTTTGGTTCATAATAAAGTTTTAAATATATGCCAACCTTCTTCATTAAATAATATCTACTTAAAGTTGAATAATGAATAGGTCCGAGAGGTACTGTTGATTAATGAATAGCCCAGTTGGTCGCATAGATCGAGCATATAAAGATACATTTTAAGAATCAATTTTAATTGATTTTAGAATAAGTAATCAATGGATATAAAAGCTTTCAACAATACCTTCCATCAGATTGCTGAAGGTTTCTCATTGAGATTGCAATTGATTCAGAGTCAATATTGGAGAAGTCATAACCAATGACCTTCAGTATTGCAAGGGCACAGTATGTGCTTGCCAAGTGACTACCGTTGTGAATTAAATCCTATAAGAAAAAACAGACAAATATTACAAGAATAAAAGAGGACATATGGCTCTCATTTGCACTGCACTAACTGCGTATGTGCCAATAGTGAAAGCAGATATTGGAGACAAGAAGGAAACATATCAATAAACATTAATATTTTATCTCAAGAGGTTCAATAGCTTTGTGCACTATGTCTTATCATACCCCATCCTCATCTGGAGGAAACTGAGAACTTCTTGATCCACAGAATCCATAAAATTCTCCTGCATCAAACCAAAAGCTAATCACCAGGCACTTTCTCCATATAAATTTTACACTTTCTTTCTAAGGTAAGTTCATACCATTAGTTTTTTCGGCCTTCTTTGTAGGAAGTGCCTGAAAGGACAAGACCCAACTAGCAATGATGTCCTTGTCGACCTATAGAATTTCAAACATCTAATGTTAACTTTTCAAATAACCTTCGGCATTTTAACACAATACGGTGGTTGTGGAAATAATCAATGCATTACAATATTTGGATGGAGATTATAGCTGCACAAAGGTGCATAAACGACACAAGATAACAGCAAGCATAGTGTCAACATTGTAAGAGTTCCGCAGCTAATTGGTTCAAAACTCATTCTCGTAATAAAAAAATGCACAATTTAGATCAAAAGTTAGATACAAGAACTCGAATAGCAGCTAAGAAACTCTTCCTAACATCCCCCACCCCTCAAATTCAAAATCAAAACCTTTTCATGTCCATAATCAAACAATTAACAGGCTCACATAATTACCATAGGTTCCTCTAAGCCGCAACCGATTACCAAAAGTCAAATTCATAATCAGATAGAAAAAAAATTACGAGCTTCAAATTTCTAATCAGTCTAAATCAAGAATTTCACAGTCGGCATTGGGGATAAACAAAGGGATAGATATTCAACATGAAAAATCAGCGGAAAGGAGGAAAACTAAACATTCAATCGTAACACAAATCTCTATCTCAATGTGTACTCGGATCAAAACAACGCGATACAAAGAGAAATTGAAAATTGTACCCACACGATCCATGGCGCCAAGAAGGTCAAGGCTGGAGATCACGAAGTAAGCAAGTGTAAGGTGGTTAATCTCTTGAGTCTGATACTGAATAGGTAACAACTGGTACATCAACTCCAAGAACGTCACATGGCGATCTCTATCGAAACCAGAAGAAGAAGAAGCGGATGATTCTTCTAACAGGTTCGACTCTGAATCCATGGTGACACCTTTCTAGATGACTTGAAGGACTTGTCTTTGGCTCTCGGCTCTTCGCCATTTTATTTCTCGCATTTTTTGCAAATTGTAGAAATTTTCTCAAAAGTATTTTAATAATTTAATGTAAATTTAAATAAAATTATATATAAAAAAAATCTTCTAACTCTACCTTTTAATAAAAATGCGTACTTCTTGCTGGAATTTATGCTTTAATTAGCGATTTATTTATTTATAATAAATAATAATAATTTTTTTTTATTTATTTACAAAATAACATTATTTATTGTATGAAAAATAGAAAAAAGTGTTAGAATAATGAATAGATAAATGAGCGTATTATATATTAAGTTAAATTACAAATTTATCCTTGAAAATCAATTCGTTTTTCTTTTTTATTTAATTCACATTTAAAACCCTAATAACTCATAACCTTTTGGGCTACAAGGAGCGCGAGCCCAATAACTCCGCTCAAGAACCCTCGTTCTAACTTTCATATTCTTTCTTCTCTAGCGAAGCGCGAACCCGTTTGTTCACAAGAGTTGCTTTGAGAGCAGGAATTTAATCGAGCACTTGGCGTGCAATATCGCATATTTTTCGCTCTGAACATGAAGAAGGCCAACAAAACGGCTCTCTTAACGTTTGCTGAGAGGTGTAAGGTGCTCACCTTTATCACTTTTTCCTGAAATCAGTATAATGAAACTTGATTTACAGTAAAAATGATATCTGGGTTCGTTCTTCTGCAGAAGTTTAATGTTGTGGTTTTCTTTTTGTTTTAGAATATTCTTGCTTCCAACTGGATTGGTAGTCTCAATACTATCAAAGCCGATGCCAAAGGAAGGTACCCATTTGTTCTAATAATCGTGTTTTCTTCTCTGAGTTTTCATTTGGTGAGCCAAACAAGGGTTATGGTGAATGGGATTGTGACTTACTGAAGATTATATTAACAAAATTCATTTAAACTGATTATGTTTGGCTCAGCAAGGAGGACATTCACACCTCAAAAGTTATGTACGTGATCAGGAAAGGAAGGCCATACATTTGGGTTCCTGAGAAGGATTTGCACAATGTGGTATGGTCTTCTTTAAACATCTCTGCCACAGATTTAATCCTTTTTTCTTTCCTAGGAAGGGAAAGAACCACAAAACTTTTGAATTTGTTCTTTGAAGCTCCCATTACTCTAAAGCCGGGTTTAACTGATTTCAATTGAATTTCCTGACTTCGTTTTATATTGAATTGCCCTATCTAGCGTTGTTATATGTCAAATTACTATTAGGTGTTTTGATGTTTGTATCGCTTTGTTGAGTGGCAATGATTTTTTGCCAATTTATTCAATCACTTGAAGATATTTATGTGTTGCTAGCGGTGGATTTGGACTATTACAAATGGTATTCGAGCTAGTCACTAGGCGGTGTGCTAACGAAGACGTTGGACACCCAAGGGGGGTGGATTTTGAGATCGCACATCGGTTGGAGAGGGGAACAAAGCATTCCTTATAAGGATGTGGAAACATCTTCCTAAACTCGTTTTAAAACCTTGAGAAGCCCAAAAGGAAAAGCTCAAAGAGGACAATATTTGCTAACGGTTACAATATATGAGAAATTGAGAATTGATTAAATAACGAATACCCTGATCATTCCATAGTGTTGGAGTAGTTTATGCACTTGAGGCATTTTTCTTAATTCCCCCATTTCCTTAATTAGTCCCTCAAGTTTCACCTGCAGTGTCAGCTCGAGTTCTGATCTTAAAGTGCCACCCATGAAAAGATGCAAAACAGTATCTTGGTTCTTTTGATCCTCAAAATGTAATATGTGGATCTAAGCGGACCTTGCTTTTGATCCTCTATAAGCTTAATCATCCTTACAGATTAAGCTTATAAAGACAACTTAAACACTTGTTTGCTTGTTTTTAGTTGAACTAAGCGGATTTCAGAAATGTTTTTGATAGTATACAAAGGACATTATGGATCTATAACCATTGAATTGAAAAACAGAAAAACAAAAGACCAGAAGATTAAGTGCATTCTAAGTAACTCGAGTTCCTTGTATATGGCACTGTTAGGTTGTTAACATACGTTATTATGTTTTCCCCCAGAATACAATCATTGATGAGCGAGGTTCATTTTCTGTGGCCAGTCCTTTCCCAGGTCCTCTAGCTTACTTGTTCAGATCCCTGGAAAAGGTGAGTTCGAGATACATCTATCTCGTAATTTACAGCTATCAAAATATCTCTGATGTCGGAGACGTAATATGTCGCTAAGCGGTACCTCTATCTCTCAATTTGCAAATGTACCTTTCTCTTGGAAGGAACCTGTGACTCTTAAGGAAAGAACTTCAAGCTTAAATTAGAGCAACTACCCTGAATACTTATGCATTTTGTCATCCTGCAGTTGCCACCACGGGTTGCACTTACCGGGGACATTACACGTCTTAAAAGCGAAAAGGTAATGCATCCTTTTGTCTTAGAGTTTACATTTTGCAGTCTGATTGTTATGTAGCACATGTAAAGATCCTCAGCGACGTTGCCATGCTTTAGTACTATGAAGGGTATGGCTGACATTGTTCCTTGGTGAGGATTGGAGTGAAGGAATTGGTTACAAGTAGAAGTAATGGGAAGAGATAAAATTAGTGAATAGCTTAGCTGGTGAATTGATGAGTGAAAATTCTTTAAGAGGGGACGTTTCATATACCTCGAACACTATCTTTTATATGTTAATATCATTTTAGATTTTCGAGTTCTATCAACTCGGTACGGTCCTCTGGTAATTGATTAGTTGACAAACCAAGCCCGTCTTTGATTATAAACTAACAAGAAAAGGAAGAGGTCAAGCAGCTAAATTTACAAAAAATGTATCCACATCTTATTTTGAAAGACTAGATGGGATTGAATCTTGCGGTTTAGTTTGCCTAGGAATTTTAGTCAGCTTTGGAAGTTCCCAACTACAAGCTGTTTCTTGAAGTATTATGTTTTGATCTCGACTTTATTAGGTAGTCTAATTACAGGCTCAGGATGCTGTTGAAAGGCTTAGAGGGGCCATACTGTCTGAACAGAAAGCCATTGAAGACTTTGGAAGTACAGCCTCCAATGTCTTGAACTCCTCCAGCCTTAAATATACATCACGCAGCCAACACCTCAAGGAGTTCTTAGAAGGGAACGAAGAACACGTGGTCTATAAGTTTGATGTGAGGTATGGGATTTTACTCCTACTCCAAATGCATTCCAGTCTTCAAATAGTACGTACTCGAGTTGACAATTCTCTTCGCCAGATCAAGTATGTTTATTGATAGTAAAGGAGGTATGCACGAGGTTGATGCAGAGGACTTCGGCACCTCGAAAGCAGACTCATTAGGTGGGCACATCGCTCATCCTTTCGCTGTTTATTTACTCGATGCAAATGCGTCCTTAAGTTAACTTCAAGTGTGCTAACCATTTTGCTTGTTGTTTCCTTTAGCGCCTTTCTCGGCAGCGCTTATTGATGGAATAAACCAAAGCGACGCGAGACGTCGAGCCCTGATGCTTTTCTGTCATGTGTACTTCAATGCAAATGCAAAGGTATTTTTTGGACGTGTTTCCCTACAAGACCTATGGCAGCTTTGTTGCCACGATTGTTAGTATAACTCTGTTTTGCCCATATTGAAGGATGCATACATATTACGAGTGGATCGCAAGGGATTTGATATGCTGGGAAAAGTTCCAAGCCTCACTGTGGGGGATGGATTCGGCCAGTGTGAGTGGAAAGATTTCAGATTTACATTGAAGAATGAAGCGACGAACATTGGAGATTTTTGCCAACAATTAATGGAAATGGAGGAGGAAGTTGTGAAGAGAATTACCAATTATAGTGGTCTTGGGTAGCCTTCCAGCAAATAATTGCCAAGGACTGCCTTAAATCTAGGCACATTTTGTTGTAATTCATACGGTTAAGTCTGTTCTACTGCAGCAATTTAGCGCAATAATTGATCAAAAACAACTTTTATAATAGCAAAACACGGTGAAAACGCAAAACGAGAATTACATTGAAAACCAAGAGGCAAGCCTAAATCGAAACGCGAATAGCAATCACATAATAGTTTAAAGGCTTGAGACACTTGAGGGTAAGAAGACAGTAAAATGTTTAATCAACTTCCTCGATCTTAGGACCAGCGCCACTGCCGCCTGATGGAGGAGTATCATCGTCCATTGCGACGCCGCCCATGTCAGCCCCACCTTGATACATCTTGGCTATGATGGGGTTGCAAATAGATTCGAGTTCTTTCATTTTGTCCTCAAATTCGTCGGACTCTGCAAGCTGGTTGCCGTCTAGCCATTGAATGGCCTGTTCAACTGCATCTTCAATCTTCTTCTTGTCTGCTGGGGCAAGTTTACCACCTATCTTTTCATCTCTGATTGTGTTCCTCATATTGTATGCATAGTTCTCTAAAGCATTCTTTGATTCAACTTTCTTCTTGTGTTCCTCATCTTCAGCCTTGAACTTCTCTGCTTCTTGAACCAGTTTTTCAATCTCCTCTTTGGACAACCTTCCTTTGTCGTTGGTAATGGTGATCTTGTTCTTCTGTCCAGTTGTTTTATCCTCAGCGGAAACGTTTAGAATACCGTTGGCGTCGATGTCGAAGCAAACAGTGATCTGAGGAACACCTCTTGGAGCTGGAGGAATGCCGGAAAGTTCAAACTTGCCCAGCAAGTTGTTATCTCTGGTTCTTGTCCTCTCGCCCTCATAGACCTGAATAAGAACACCAGGCTGGTTGTCTGAGTATGTGGAAAATACTTGCTCCTTCTTTGTGGGTATGGTGGTGTTCCTTGGGATCAAAACTGTCATCACACCTCCAGCAGTCTCCAAGCCAAGAGACAGAGGAGTGACATCCAAAAGAAGAAGATCCTGCACTTTCTCATTTCCCTCACCACTCAAGATAGCAGCTTGAACAGCAGCCCCATAAGCAACTGCCTCGTCAGGATTGATACTCTTGCAGAGCTCCTTGCCATTGAAGAAATCCTGCAGTAGCTGCTGCACCTTAGGAATCCTCGTAGAGCCACCAACAAGGACAACATCATGGACGCTGCTTTTGTCCATCTTTGCATCTCTCAGACACTTCTCAACTGGCTCCATGCACTTTCGGAACAGGTCCATGTTGAGCTCCTCGAATCTAGCACGAGTGATGGTTGTGTAGAAATCAATTCCTTCATACAAAGAATCAATCTCAATTGTAGTTTGAGCAGTGGATGAAAGGGTTCTCTTCGCCCTTTCACAAGCAGTCCTCAATCTCCTCAGAGCCCTTGGATTTCCACTGATGTCCTTCTTATGCTTCCTCTTGAATTCCTGTACGAAATGGTTAACCAATCTGTTGTCGAAGTCCTCACCTCCGAGATGGGTGTCACCGGCAGTCGCCTTCACTTCAAAAATACCCTCCTCAATTGTGAGAAGAGAGACATCAAATGTTCCTCCACCTAAATCAAATATGAGTACATTCTTCTCGCCAACACTGGATGCTTTCTTGTCTAGTCCATAAGCGATGGCTGCCGCAGTGGGCTCATTGATGATCCTCATAACATTGAGGCCGGCAATGACACCTGCGTCTTTGGTGGCCTGACGCTGAGAGTCATTGAAATAAGCAGGGACAGTAACGACAGCGTTCTTCACGGAGGAACCGAGGTAAGCTTCTGCTATCTCACGCATTTTCGTGAGGACCATGGATGAAATTTCCTCAGCAGCGAACTGCTTCTCTTCGCCTTTGTAGTTGACAACAATCATGGGTTTGTCACCTGGACCGGCGATGACCTTGAACGGCCACATTTTCATATCGTTCTGGACCGTGGGATCGGTGAATCTCCTTCCAATCAACCGCTTCGCATCTGTCGAGTACGAATCATAGTAAATATTTAGAAAGAACTTCAAAAACATGTGTAACGCAACACAAGGATACGAACAACAACGATAATTGTCGAGAAAACAACACAACTACAGAGGAACAGTTCCTGGAATCCAAGGCCAGTTGTTTGAAGAGTTCGGGAAATCAATTTTCTATCTGATATGTAAACTTTTGTAACAATTTGTTTCTCCAACATATTTTCACTGAAAATGGAAGTTATGCTAAGCTGTACAACAATTTTAAGTCATACAAGCGCTCATACTTGCTATACAGATTAGTGCTAAAAACAGAATTGCACAAATCATTCCTAAGAATCAGAGCCGAAAAAATCATAAATTCTGTACGCAACAGCGTAAGAAGGCAAACCACACCTTAAGTTAACATTCACACAAGATCAAAGCACCCAAACACGGGAAAGAACAATAAATTTCACAAAAGCAAGCGGAAGTAAAATAATCCAGAAATTCACGTACCGAAGACGGTGTTGAGAGGATTCATGGCAACCTGGTTCTTCGCAGCATCGCCGATAAGCCGCTCGCTATCAGTGAAAGCAACATACGACGGCGTTGTCCGATTCCCCTGATCATTGGCGATAATCTCAACACGATCGTGCTGCCAAACTCCAACACAGGAATAAGTAGTACCGAGATCGATACCGATGGCCGGACCCTCGCCCTTTCCCGCCATTAACAAATTACAACGCAAATCAGCTCAAGAACGATAGAATTTGAGAAAAGAACTGGAGAACAAAAGGATTGAATTGCAATGGAAGAAATGAAATGCTTAGGAGGTATATTCAACAATCTGTAAGGAGATCGGAAAGGTGAGTGGAATATATACGAAGTTGGGAACTGGTGGTAAAATCTGGAGAGTTCTAGGAAGAACCATGTCTGGAATCTTCCGTGCAGAAAAAACAGGGATCGAGATGCTTCAATTGGGATTCGACGTGTGTAATCCGCGCGCCATTTCTTCATGCGGTTAAGTCCCCTAAATTATTACCATCTTTAAATTTATAATACTACAAGTCACTCCACAATTTTGCTTTTTCTTCCTTGCGAATTTGAATTATTGGGAAATTAATTATGTTATCTATTTTTTAAATTAAAAGAAAAAATTGTTTGTTAATTTTTTTTAAGTGAAAGTTAATTAAAAAATAATGAAAAAACAAAATGGTTGGGAAAGAAACTGTAACGCCACAGATACACCGCGGGCCGATATTGTCCTCTATGTGCTTGCCCTTTATTCTCCTCCCAACCAATGTGGGATATCACAATCCACCCTATTCGCCATCTTTGGGCTTTCCCTTTCGTGCGTCCCCTCAAAGCTATAAAATAGTTTTCCACACCCTTATAAATAGTGGTTTGTTCTCCTCTCCAACCAATGTGGGACATCACACAGACTAATATTCATGGAACCTAAAAATAAAATTTATGCTTAATATATTTGTTAATTTATAAGTTTGTTGGATTTTTAATATATTTTAGAAACACACGAAATTAAATAAAAATAGAATTTTAGTGTTTTTCTAATATGGCATTAATTTTGTTTTGTTTTTTGTTTTTTTTTTTTTTTTTTCTAATTTTTTAAAAACCACTCTTCTTATCTAGGTTTAATGAAATTAAAATATCCAAATTTCTACTTCACAGGTAAGTTTATATTTTTTAACTAATTTTTTTCTAAGGAAAGTTCGGTGAAAAGTAAAATTTTGAATATTTAATAACATTCGAGGTAAAAAATTACTATCTTTGTCAAAATCTATAGTCTGGTCTAAAGTTGTTGGTTTTTTTAAAAAAAAAAAAAAATTTAAAATAAGGTCGAAAAAGATATTTTCGTATTAATTAGAACAAAAATTTAAAAGTTAAAAATATATTGGGCTACTTTTGTGGTTTATAGCCCAGCCCATCAATTTCAATGGGCCGGTTTTCTTAAACCATTTCGCGGATTCGGTGAAGTACTCAATGGGTCGACCCTAGATAGGGAGGCTAACCCAACAGGGGCCCATACACGTTGAACTAAAAGCCCAACCCAAAATTCAAAATTTAAATTAATTTATTATTTATATATTTTAACGACTATCCCCTAAAACATTACCTAATTGATTACTACTAGTATAAAAAGAAATAAATAAATAATTACATAAAAACGTTTATTAAAATATTTTTTTATAAATGACTCGAAATATTTATTATTACATTGCACGACACGGATAAACAACTATTGTTCCGTATATTAATAATTAATTTTTTATTATTATTATTTGAAAAAAAAAGGAGAGGTTGCTGTTATCAATCAAATAACGTAGACGTAGAAAGGAGAAGAAGAGAAAGAGGACCACTCTTTTTTCCACTTTAAGACGAGTTGCGTGTGTGAAAGAAAAAGCTAAGTGGGGGTAGAATGGTAATTAACAAAATACAAATATATAACCAATAATTATTTAAAAAAAAAAAAAGAAGCACGTGATCAAGATCCACGGTTACATTTGTCTCCTCCGCAATTACTCGTAACAAGCACGTGATCCTTCTTATCATCATAAAATTATCACTCCACATTTTATAAATTAAAAAAGAAAAGGAAAATCCACGTGGCGGTATTTGGTAAATAAAAAAAAAAAGCGAAGAGGGATGGGCGTGTCAGCAATGATACGAACTAATATCCTCAATAAAATAAAATAAAAATAAATAAAAAGGAAAAAAAGATATGAAGAAATATACTTGGTATGCGATAAGGGAGGCAAAAGCTGCATGGAGCTATACGCTTTGCTTTCCCATCTTTCCCTATTTATATTTATATATTTATATATTTATATATTTATATATATATTTGTATCTGTATTTATATTTATATTTATATACTTTTTTTTATTGGGGTTCGGAGGGTGCATGAAAATGAGATAAAGAAATATTCCGGCAAAGATTTGATTGGATGGAGAGGGAATTAGATTCCCAAAACATACACACGTACTTTTTTTTTTTTTTTTAAATTGTTAAAGTCAGTCACATGCTCGAGATCCCAACATTTTTGTGTTCATAACCTAGTATACCTACAATGTCGAATTTTAATTTTTTTTGCTTGGATTTAATTTATGAGAAAAATAATT